TGGGGCCTGTGGGGGTGGCCTCCCTGGCTGCCCTGGGTCCTGCCTTCCCTCCCAGCAGCCCACCCGGCTCCCAGGCCAGGAAACCCCTGTCCAGAACTCCTGTCCCAGGGGCCACAGCGCTGGGCAGGGGGGGAGCCTGGATGCCTCCCGCTGTCCTTGGCGGGGTGGCTGGGACATTCCGGAACTTGTGCAATGGACACGGGGCAGCTGACACCCCCGTGTCCCCCGCCCGCCCTGACCCACTCCTGTCCCCGCCCCGACGGTGAGCCGAGGGCCCAGGGCGCCGAGAGCCTGCTGCGGCCTCCGGGAAAGGTAAGGGGGCTCCCAGCAGCCGCCAGGCCCGGGCGCCCCTCCGGGGTCATTTAGGCCAGGGACGGCAGGGATGTCAGGGCTGCTGCCCCTCTGAGCCTTGGTTTCCCTTCTGAGAGGCGCCCTCATCTGGTCTACACTGTCCTGTGCCACACAACACACCCCAGACCAGGGTAACCCACTTGCTGGGCGCTGGCCCCGGGCACCTGGCGAGTGAGGGGTAGTCCCGCCCAGGACGGTACAGCACAGAGACGCCCAGCCACCTGCGGAAGGTCACACAGCCAGAGGTGGGCAGCAGTCCGAATGACGGACAGCCACCCTCACAGCGCCCTTGGCCCGAGACGTGGGGACACCCACGCTGTCACTGTCTGCAGGCCCAGGAGGGCGCAAGGCCTGAGCTCGAGTGGCAGAGGGCATGGCAGGGTGGCAGGGCCCCAGTGCACACCCTGTGCTGCAGTCCCCCGTGACTGCCCTCGTACTGGCCAGGTCAGAGGGCCCGGGGCGGCCAAGAACCACGTGCATGGCCCTGCCGGCCCAAACCCAAACACACCTGGCGGCTGAGCCCCGCCCCTGGCACTAATTAGGCACCTACTACGTGCAAAACGTTTCAGGCGTCTGAAGCCCTTTTTTTAAAAAGAATTATTTTATTAAATTTTACTTATATTTTTGGAAAGGTTTTTGCTATAGGGTGCATGCACTCACCAGAAAGAGACAGAGAGACAGAAAGCGAGAAATCACCCCCCAGGGGGGATGGCCACGCCGCAATCCCTTCTCCTCCATTCTCCTCTCGGGATCTTGGGCACGCACACACACGTGCCCAGCGTGAGTTTAAGCCACCGGGTCCGGGACTCAAACTGTAGTTGACTACATGGGAGTCCAGCGACATAGTCATTACGCCATCTGCTGTTCCCTCTTTATTTATTTTAAAACATTTACTGTCTACTTATGTCTAATTTTTCAAGCCTCCAGGTCTAGGACTTGAACTGCAGTTGGCCATGAGGGAGTCCAGTCTCAACCACCATGCCACCTCCTGCCCCCTACATTTTATTTACTTATTAAGAATGATCTAATTTAATTAATTATTTTTAAATTTTAATTTGGCCAGGGTGAGAGAGAGAGAGAAAAATGAGAAAGCAGGCCACCAGGTTCAGGATGTGAACCGCAGTCGGCCATGTGGGAGTCCAGCACCCTAACAACCAGGCCACCTGCTGGCCCTAATTTTATTTATTATTATCTTTTAAATTTTGCTGTAGGGTATATGTGGTCACGAGAGAGAGAGATAAAGAAAGTTAGAAAACAAGCCGCCAGGTCCGGGACTCAAACCACAGCCGGCCATGTGGGAGTGCAGTGCCCTTAACCACTGCGCACCTGCCGGCCCCGGATGTGCTTTCCCCACAGTCCTTGAAGGCGGTGGTGCTTCAATCCCCATCCTTCAGAGACAGGATGTTTAAGAGCACACGTGAGTGCAGGAGAGCTGGGGTTGAACCCCGGTCTCTCCGACTCCGAGCCAGGCCAGGAGCCAGGCGTGAGACATAACCTCGGGGCTTCTCAGCCTCAGTCCTGAAGGTTCTCTGTGGGGCGTCCTGGGCCCTGCAGGGACTGAGCAGTGTTCCCGGCACCACGTGCTCCAGGCCAGGGGCGGCCCCGGTCACGACCACCACAGAGGTCCCTCAATTTCTGCGAGTGTGCCCTGGGGAGCAGGATTCCCTGGGTAGAGCCTCAATTCAAAACCACCCACTCCTGGGGCCGGCAGGTGGCGTGGTGGTTAAGGCACTGGACTCGTGGCTTGAACCATGCCAAGCAGGTGGCGTGTGTGGCCTGGAATCCCGAGAGGAGAATGGAGAAGGGACTGCGCCGTGGCCACCTCCCCATGCCCGAATGGTCTCTCGCTGTCTCTCCCAGTCTCTGGCGAGTGCACATGCCCTACAGCAAAAAATTCTCTCTAAAAAGAAATGTACTCTTACGTGGAGAGCCGGTAAGATGAGCCAGAAAGTATTAATCAGATCCAGGCTCGTGCTGGGCCTGAGGACTGAGCAGCTGTCACCACAGGGTCCCTCGGCATCACCTGTGCTCGGGTGCAGCTGGTTAGGGCCGTCTCGGAAGGCCAGGGCCGGTCACAGCCTTGCAGCGGGCCTGGGGGTGACGGGGACATCGAAGCGCTGCGAGGGAGAGGGCCAGGGCCCCCGCCGCTCCTCTTGATCTGCCTGACCCGGTGTCATCTGTCGACAGGTGCCGGCCGGGGCCACGGACGCTGTCTCCTCTGGGGCAGCCAGCATGGTGGACGCGGTGAAGGGCGTGGTCCAGGGAGGCCTGGCCACCACCCAGTCTGCGCTCACAGGCACCAAGCAGGCCGTGTCCAGTGGGCTGACGGGGGCAGTGGACACGGCCAAAGGGGTTGTCCAGGGGGGTCTGGACACCTCGAAGGCCGTCCTCACAGGCGCCAAAGACACGGTGTCCACGGGGGTCATGGGAGCCGTCAACGTGGCCAAGGGGACCGTCCAGACTGGCCTGGACACCTCCAAGACTGTGCTCACTGGTACCAAAGACACGGTGTCCACGGGGGTCTTGGGAGCCATGAATGTGGCTAAAGGGGCCGTCCAGACTGGCCTGGACACCTCCAAGACTGTGCTCACTGGTACCAAAGACACGGTGTCCACGGGGGTCATGGGAGCCGTCAACGTGGCCAAGGGGGCCGTCCAGACTGGCCTGGATACATCGAAGGCCGCCCTTAAAGGCACCAAAGACACAGTGTCCACTGGGCTCATGGGGGCCATGGACGTGGCTAAAGGAACTGTCCAGACTGGTCTAGACACCTCCAAGGCCGTCCTCACTGGCACTAAGAACACGGTGTCCACAGGACTCACTGGGGCAGCCAACGTGGCCAAGGGGGCCGTCCAGACTGGCCTGGACACCTCCAAGACCGTCCTCACTGGCACCAAAGACACGGTGTCCACGGGGCTCATGGGAGCGGTGAACA